ATATCCAAGACCCTCCGTCCCCCGTCTCCCCCTTCTCTCCCCCCCTCCCTCTCTGATGTTCATTATTTCAGAAATCAACTCTTCAGGGTGAGCTGCTCAGTTTGACCTTGACACTGTCCTCTGAGCTGCCGAGACAGACGGCAACGGACCAGAAGAGTGATGAAAGATATGCCCAGTAGGGGGCAGCACTCACTCAGCATTCAGATCCGTCCGGGAACGTCCCGCAGAAGACGAGCGACGAGCCGACGGCGTTAGCAGCGTTTTGCGCAGTGGCTGACGTTGAAACAGGATTGACCCTGGGGGGGGGGGCAGTTATGGCGGTACTCACTGTGTGTGGGGTGAAGGTGGTCTTGGTCGGACTGAAGGCTGAGGAGACGATGAAAACCTCATCAGAGCCCAGGTCCAGTTCGGTCAAACCACTGCCTGAGAGGTCCACCGGTGCATTCTGGAACACGTCCACAGAGAGCGCTGCAGGGGTCGGACAGAGACAAAAAAAAAAAAAACGGAGACAAATTATTGACAGTTCCTGTTCTCCACCTCGGTGAGATGGAACCGTGTCTTGTTCAGAGGAATGTCGGAGGAATGACGGAACGTTCCGTGACCTTCAGCTTTAGCCGCAGTGAAACAGATTTATGTTCCTGACACCGAAATTATCATTCCTCACATTATTCCCTATACAGTTGGGAATCAGAGGAGGAAGAATATAACCCCGGGGAAGAAGTTCTGTGGACCAGTGGTCCACTTGTCTACTGGTCGACTGGTCTATTGGTCCAGTGGTCCACTGGTCTACTGGTTCACTGGTCCAGTGGTCCAATGGTCTACTGGTCCACATGTCTACTAGTCTACTGGTCCAGTGGTCCACTGGTCTACTGGTTCACTGGTCCAGTGGTCCACTGGTCTACTGGTTCAGTGGTTCACTGGTCCAGTATTCCACTGGTGCACTGGTCCACTGGTTCACTGGTCCAGTGGTCCACTGGTCTACTGGTTCACTAGTCCAGTAGTCCACTGGTGCACTGGTCACTGGTCCAGTGGTCTACAGCAGGCGACCCAAGTCAATAGACATTATTCGTAAACTCCTGGGTAACATGCAAGACGACCCAAAACAATTTTCTTGCGACCCACCTGAGGGTTGCGACCCAGTGTTTGGGAAAAACCATGGTCGTACTGGTGTGTGTGTGTGTGTGTGTTGACCCCACCTGTGTCGACCTGACCGTCCTGGTCCTGTGTCCTGCTGGTCTGATTCTCAGTCATGAGCTGCAGCTCACTGACCTCTGACCCGGGGTTCTGGACGCCCTCTGGAGCCTGGAAGACAGCAGAGGTCAGAGGTCAGTATCTTCATCATCATCATCTTATACTTGACATCGTCCAGGACCGGTTCATTCCAGTGTGTTCTATGGTGGGCTTGACCTTTGACCTTTTGTGTCTACCTTGGTCCTATCACTGGTTTTCTTACTCAAGTACTAGTCCCTGACAAACACTGACAACTGGTCTGTGGTTGACAACCTCTGATGGACAGACAGAGTCAAAGGTGAGGACGGGGCGGGTGAGCAGCGGGTCAGTACCTCAGAGTTGCTGGACAGACAGGAGTTGGACTTTTTACGACACAGTTTTGGTCTGAAAGAAAAAAAAAGAGAAAGAGTTGAGACATTTCCGAAGGTGTAATACCTCCCCTGGCCTCTGGGTGCCGCCCTTGTCACCTTGTCATTTGTGGCAACATTCTTATCAAAGACTCATGTTTCTGAGAGCAAAAAAAAAAAAAAGACCAGACATCAAACTTTGAAAACTCACCTTGTATTCCAGGTCCCTCAGGACCAGGACCAGGATCATCCTGGGACTTCATGCCCTGCCCCCGCCCCCCCTTTTGATTTTCCTGACAATGCTGTCGTCACTAACAATCGCACTGACGTTTGTCGCCGCTTGTTTTTTTTTGTTTTTTTTTTTTTTCTTCTCTGCCCACGTACTTTCATGTCGCCCCCGCGTCCCTGTGCCTCAGTGTTTAATACCACGGCCTACCCTGACTTCCTGCTGCCTACGGTAGGACTGACCCACATCAAGGCCGCCGCCACCGCCGCCGCGTCCCAGCCAAACCCCAGTAATCGCCCCGGGGGACAAAGACGGCAGCTGAGTCAACACAACAAAAGAGGATCGTGCGGGCGATAACGCCTGCGTCTGTGTGGCGGAGGATTGGTGTCCGACCAGTCCTCCATTCATAGGGGACCTCACTCACCCGTGACTCACCCGTTTTCACTTCAGAAAAACCTGATCGTGTGCACGTTACAACAAGAATGAAGGAGACAATAACGTCGGCAGGTGAAAAGGAACAAACACTCGCGGCTTTGAAGAGTACAAAGTAAAGGTGGTAACACTAGAGGAGGTGAAAAAAGAAAAAAACAAAACGTGGCTGCAGGTCCAGTTCCAGGTCCAGATCCAGGTCCAAGTCCAAGTCCAGGTCCAGGTCCAGGTCCAGGTCCAGGTTCAGGCCCAAGTCTCACCTGAAGAATCTCTTATTGTTTGTTTGTTTTTTTTTTTTTTTGACTATTATTTTGTCTGAGCGACATTTTATTTTGTAAACTGAGAGGAAGTCTGTGGAGCTGCTACTTCCTGCTGTTTCCTCTCTGTAGATCGGGGGTTCCCAACCCCTGGCCCGGGGACCGGTAGCCGGTCCGTAGGTACCGGAAAAAAATGTATTTTTTTTGTAGTTTTACTAATTTACCTCAGGTATTTTTTAAAATCTAACGATCCCAGGATACTGGATCTAAAAATAAATCTTTAGATCCAGTAGGTGGCAGTAATGCCACTCACAAGGTGAAAAGACATGCAGGCAAAGACCACAGAAGAAAAGACACGCTCGCACACCTCTAGCATGCTACGTACTAGCATATCACTAGCACACAGTTAACGTACGACGTGCTGACAGATTAGTGCCCCCTTCTGTGCGACGTAACTTTAAAAAGTGACAGGTGAGTGAGAAGGTGAGTGAATTTACCTGAAGATGATGCAGAGGGCGCTTGTGAGTATCATGGCAAAAAAGGCGGCTCCGCTCACGGCAGCTAGCATGGACTCCGCTCTGCTGCCTGCGGGAGCAGAGACTCGGATGTCCGGCCCCACGTCCGTCAGGTTGTGGTAGTGGAAGAGGAGAGCAAAGCCACGCCCCCAGTGCGTGGTGGTGATGAGTTCCATGATGACCTCCACCCTTTCCTGGCTGGAGCCAAAGACCAACTGGGAGCCGGGGGGGCGGTTGGAGCCACAGAACCTGGAGGAGAAGGTCACCAGGTCGGAGATGTAGAGAACGTCGTGGGGACAGATGTCCAGGCTCACGGCGGGGGGGTCAGTAGTGGATGACGAAGGACCGGTCCTCTCCTCCACGTCGGTGCTCTGAGTACCCGGGTTCATGGAGGCGGAGTCGACCACAGGGGCTCCTGAAGGTGAAGTCCCAGGAGGGAGGAGGAAACCCGCGGAGGCAGAGTTGGAGCCTTTGCCCCCCCCGGTGGACAGCCTCACACCTGCTTTGACCTCCCCGTCCTGGGAGGACTGTTGGGTTTTTGTGACGTTGTTCCGGAGCCCAGCTCCCTCCTCTGTCTCTGTCGCCTGGGCGGGGTCAGAGGTCATCCCCTCCTCGACTTCCTCCTCGGACCAGTCTTGGTTTTCGAACACGTCGAAGTCAAAGACCTCCAGGACCAACTGGTACTTCACCGGCACGACGAAGAGCCACACGCAGTGGGTTCCAGAGGAGTAGTTGTAGGGGAACCCCGGGGACAGGATCAGACCCTGGACGTCCACCACGTCCACCTTGGCTCCACAGTCGAAGAACACCTGCAACAGCAACGACATTCAGACGTCAGACTGATGATGTCATCAGGGAGAAAATGAAAAAAAAAAAAACAGTACTACAAGTAAATTAGTAGTAGTAGTATAATTAAAAACAACAATAAAAACTATGGTTTGTGAGTTGTTTCGTGGGCCACAAAAAATCAATTCAAGGACCAAATCTGGCCCCAGGGCCTTGGGTTCTTCTTCGTGTTATTAGTCCGTCCAGGTCTGAACCTGGGCTTTAAGACTCAGATGTTCCAGATTCCTGGTTTTATTGTGAAGAGCTGGGGGAGCGGGGGCGGGGG